TTTTCTTTTTTTTTTTTTTTTTTTTTTTTTTTTTTTTTTTTGTGTCAAAAGTAGAACTTCACTGCTCGAGTTACCAGAATCTTGGCAACAAATGGTTGTTTCTTAATCATGTTACATTGTCACTAGTGTAACTGGGGATTGTTCATTAAGATGAATAATCTATCATCAAGTTCTATAAACATCCTACCATGTCCGTAAACCATTTGTTTTACAAATTATCCTATTCACCTTAGCAAATGATTTAGATTCCACTCCACCACTAAAAATGTGTTAGAATCCAAACTTGGGCTGGCACAAAGGCCAGAAACAAATTCACAAGAATATGGGGTTCATCACATTATAACATCAAGCCATGATGCAGAGAATTGCTAATGTAAGTCAAAGAGGCATCACTAAACAAACCTCAAGGAACGCCTTTTCAAGTTCTGGAGTAATAAGTGCGACAGATTCTGCATGCTTCTTTGCAGCTGATAACTGTTGACGATAATCCTCCACCTCCTTCTTACCTTATCAAAGAAAGTAACAATAATAGTAATCATAATAATAACAAATGATAATATTAATTATAACAATAATAATGGTAAATACTAATAATAAGTCAGTAACTCATTAAAACAGCAGTATGTAGTCCATGGAAAGATATGGGCAATTAAAAACTGGAGCCAGATGAGATCATTTCTAGTACATTTTAACATTATATAGAAAGACATATTTCCAGAATCCACAAAGACACATTGTCACTAGTTGGACAGTGTGTGTTGATTGCTGACATAATTAATCTACTGAAAGTAGAGTATGTGTAGATAGTAAGAACATGGAGGGTTTCAAGAATGAACACGGAGACCTTAATGGTGCAAAAAACTAGAGCACCTGGAAAACAGCTCCATCCTATCCAGCAGGCCATGCAGATTTAAATTATTAGCTGATTTTGAACGCAACAGAGTTGTTTTGTTAATGGGGTGGAGGAAGGGAAAATCAGAGAAAAATTAAGAAAATGTGTGTGGGCAACTACACCACAAAAGTGAGAATAATTCTGAAAAAACAGCACTCAGAAATGATCAGATTGCAAAAGGTGCAAGCTTACAATATTCAAAATGCAGGGATGCTTGGTGGGCAAACTTTTCTTGCTGCTTCATACTGACTTCCATTTCTTTAATCTGAGACGGTGCCATGGAACNCACCATGACTACCATCTCACTTGATAAGCAATTTTCATGTCTAACTTTCTTTGGTGCCTTTGTTAGGCTTGATCGGCAGCAAGTTTACAAAGCAAACACAAGGTTTGCTAGAGGAATTTGAACGTTGAAGAAAATGTCCCCGTGTTCGATAATCATGCAAGAGAAAGAATTACCTCTTAGGCATGCAACTTGGTCAAGTTCAAAGCACCANGTGGGCAAACTTTTCTTGCTGCTTCATACTGACTTCCATTTCTTTAATCTGAGACGGTGCCATGGAACAAAAGAGGAATTAAGTTTGATGAATGTCCATACCAAACTAACAAAAGAATGGTGAGCAGAAATGTGTTGGACAACAAATGCAGGCAATAGAAAGATTTTTTTAACTTATTTCACATGAGACGGGGGCAAAATGTAAAAAAATGACATTTGCAAGGACATGATTCTAGGAATTANATTTTTAACTTAGTTCACATGAGACGGGGGCAAAATGTAAAAAAATGACATTTGCAAGGACATGATTCTAGGAATTAATATCACAGTAAGGAATATAAGCAATCCAAAAGAGACAAGTAGTAAATTTATGAACTGTATTTCAGTTGTGTAGACAAATAAACACTTATTCTTAGAGAAACTGACAAAGAGCACATGTTTTTCACCACAAAAATTGTTAAAATTCAGTAAGGCTGTATTTTCTATTGCATTCATTATATTAGATTGGGTTTAAAAATGCCAACCAAAGTTTTGACCCTATTCAATTCAAGGTACAGCATAATATTGGTGTACACACATAGTGGATACTACCGTGCATTTTTTTGTTTCAGTCATAGGTTTTACTTTTTCAGAGCTGAAATGAGTTCTGTTTTAACATTTTTGAAACTTACGTGCATCATCTGTGTTGATATTTTATACAGGCCAATCCAATATTTTGACCACCATATACCATCTTACATATTTTACATCAAGTGAATAAGGTGCAATAATAGACATGAACTAATCAAAATATGGAACTGTTGGATTGCTATACTGAAAGGAGTGGTAGAAGGGGGGTAAATAGGGCTACTCAAAACTCCAAGTTTAGTTTGTTGGCTACTTTTCTCTAATAATCCAAACCAAGGATCTTTTGGTCAAGTTGGCATTTCACCCACAGTGGCATGTAAGCTTCAATCATATAATGTGTGAGGGATAGAGTATCAGAGTCTGATCTGTTAAAGTCTTAAGCAGTAAGCTTATACTGCTGGAGCCAGGCAGCTGGGTCCAGCTGATAGGCAATTGACTACCCAGATAATGCAATCCCCCTGTTTTGGTTAGCGTACTGTTTGTTCTCTAAATTCAAATCTAATTCAATCTCTAGGTGTCCCCAAACTCTGTTGTGTCCATATACATGATTGCAAGCATATAACTAGCATGGTACAAGTAACTCACAAGACTTGATTCAATTTAAGCTCAATGATCACTTTTCACACTTCTAGTTTGGCACAAAGGATACTATCATACTTGATTCATTCACTACATTAAATCATGCGTCCACAAAAATATTCAATCACCCACAAAGATCACAATGAGNCACTTCTAGTTTGGCACAAAGGATACTATCATACTTGATTCATTCACTACATTAAATTATGCGTCCACAAAAATATTCAATCACCCACAAAGATCACAATGATNGAATAATTCTGAAAAAACAGCACTCAGAAATGATCAGATTGCAAAAGGTGCAAGCTTACAATATTCAAAATGCAGGGATGCTTGGTGGGCAAACTTTTCTTGCTGCTTCATACTGACTTCCATTTCTTTAATCTGAGACGGTGCCATGGAACAAAAGAGGAATTAAGTTTGATGAATGTCCATACCAAACTAACAAAAGAATGGTGAACAGAAATGTGTTGGACAACAAATGCAGGCAATAGAAAGATTTTTAACTTAGTTCACATGAGACGGGGGCAAAATGTAAAAAAATGACATTTGCAAGGACATGATTCTAGGAATTAATATCACAGTAAGGAATATAAGCAATCCAAAAGAGACAAGTAGTAAATTTATGAACTGTATTTCAGTTGTGTAGACAAATAAACACTTATTCTTAGAGAAACTGACAAAGAGCACATGTTTTTCACCACAAAAATTGTTAACATTCAGTAAGGCTGTATTTTCTATTGCATTCATTATATTAGATTGGGTTTAAAAATGCCAACCAAAGTTTTGACCCTATTCAATTCAAGGTACAGCATAATATTGGTGTACACACATAGTGGATACTACCGTGCATTTTTTTGTTTCAGTCATAGGTTTTACTTTTTCAGAGCTGAAATGAGTTCTGTTTTAACATTTTTGAAACTTACGTGCATCATCTGTGTTGATATTTTATACAGGCCAATCCAATATTTTGACCACCATATACCATCTTACATATTTTACATCAAGTGAATAAGGTGCAATAATAGACATGAACTAATCAAAATATGGAACTGTTGGATTGCTATACTGAAAGGAGTGGTAGAAGGGGGGTAAATAGGGCTACTCAAAACTCCAAGTTTAGTTTGTTGGCTACTTTTCTCTAATAATCCAAACCAAGGATCTTTTGGTCAAGTTGGCATTTCACCCACAGTGGCATGTAAGCTTCAATCATATAATGTGTGAGGGATAGAGTATCAGAGTCTGATCTGTTAAAGTCTTAAGCAGTAAGCTTATACTGCTGGAGCCAGGCAGCTGGGTCCAGCTGATAGGCAATTGACTACCCAGATAATGCAATCCCCCTGTTTTGGTTAGCGTACTGTTTGTTCTCTAAATTCAAATCTAATTCAATCTCTAGGTGTCCCCAAACTCTGTTGTGTCCATATACATGATTGCAAGCATATAACTAGCATGGTACAAGTAACTCACAAGACTTGATTCAATTTAAGCTCAATGATCACTTTTCACACTTCTAGTTTGGCACAAAGGATACTATCATACTTGATTCATTCACTACATTAAATTATGCGTCCACAAAAATATTCAATCACCCACAAAGATCACAATGATCTATAGTGGTTCAACCCTCTTGGCCTGCAGCCACTCTTCTTCCACCTAGGTGGGAGTTGCTCCATTAACTGGGATTACAAGCTAACTCCAACAAGCTTGTGGTTTACAAATGGGAAAACCACTAACCAACCTAAAGCTGTTATATCGAAGATGTTTATGATGTTCTACGGTCCTACAAATAACCTAACTAGGCCCTCACAAGACACCTAACCGTGGTTTGGTGAATGTTTTTTCCATGGCTCATCTATTACCCAGTCCACAGCTCAGACTCTACACATGCAATCAAACTCAAATCAATGAGTTACAAGCTCCCATAGAAGTATGGCCACTAATCACGCGTAAAGCTAAGTGTGTGGCATGCAAAAGTATCCCTAATACACATATTCTCAGAATTAGAGTATACTTAAATTGAATGCTTTTGCCCAAGAATGTCTACTTCCAAACATATCCGTAATCTCTCTTTGGGCATAGAGGCAAAATGGTGAATTAGAGTATATTTAAATTGAGTGCTTTTTCAGCCAAGAATGTATACTTCCAAACATATCCATAATCTCTCTTTGAGCATATAGGCAAAATGGTAATACCCTAATATCTCTCTTCAATGTTCAATGTTGTGTATGAGGGGATGGAACCCAAATTCCATCACTAACATTGGCTAGATTTTTGAAACTCCCTACACAGTCAACTGGGTTCAAGCCATCAGCTAGCTCCAGTCAACTGGTATAAACTGTCAGTTGACTGGCTTCTGTCAAGAAGTAAGCAGACCACTGTTCACTTCAACAATAGGCCAATCTTGAACGAGGAAAGTACGCCTAACCTAAAAATGCAACCTAATTTCCGTTGACCTTGGATTCATGCAGTTGTTTAACTCACCCTCATCTTGACTCTGTTTGACTTCTTCTTTGACTTCAAGTTCCCAATTCCCCCATGCACTTGAGGCTTGTCCATGGTTCTTCCGAATGATATCTTCTTCAAAGTACACCCTAAAGCTAAAGTACAAGTCATGAAATTGTCCATCTACAGTCCTCGACCTAATAAATACAGTGGTGCTGAGGCAACTCGTCATTGATCATATTGAGATGGCAGGTCGTGCCAACACCCACCACAACGAATACAACTCTTTTCAGACAAGCAAGTCCGCCCTACCTAAAATATACAGTCTACTACATCAACTAAAAATATTGAGAAAGCNGGGGGGGTAAATAGGGCTACTCAAAACTCCAAGTTTAGTTTGTTGGCTACTTTTCTCTAATAATCCAAACCAAGGATCTTTTGGTCAAGTTGGCATTTCACCCACAGTGGCATGTAAGCTTCAATCATATAATGTGTGAGGGATAGAGTATCAGAGTCTGATCTGTTAAAGTCTTAAGCAGTAAGCTTATACTGCTGGAGCCAGGCAGCTGGGTCCAGCTGATAGGCAATTGACTACCCAGATAATGCAATCCCCCTGTTTTGGTTAGCGTACTGTTTGTTCTCTAAATTCAAATCTAATTCAATCTCTAGGTGTCCCCAAACTCTGTTGTGTCCATATACATGATTGCAAGCATATAACTAGCATGGTACAAGTAACTCACAAGACTTGATTCAATTTAAGCTCAATGATCACTTTTCACACTTCTAGTTTGGCACAAAGGATACTATCATACTTGATTCATTCACTACATTAAATTATGCGTCCACAAAAATATTCAATCACCCACAAAGATCACAATGATCTATAGTGGTTCAACCCTCTTGGCCTGCAGCCACTCTTCTTCCACCTAGGTGGGAGTTGCTCCATTAACTGGGATTACAAGCTAACTCCAACAAGCTTGTGGTTTACAAATGGGAAAACCACTAACCAACCTAAAGCTGTTATATCGAAGATGTTTATGATGTTCTACGGTCCTACAAATAACCTAACTAGGCCCTCACAAGACACCTAACCGTGGTTTGGTGAATGTTTTTTCCATGGCTCGTCTATTACCCAGTCCACAGCTCAGACTCTACACATGCAATCAAACTCAAATCAATGAGTTACAAGCTCCCATAGAAGTATGGCCACTAATCACGCGTAAAGCTAAGTGTGTGGCATGCAAAAGTATCCCTAATACACATATTCTCAGAATTAGAGTATACTTAAATTGAATGCTTTTGCCCAAGAATGTCTACTTCCAAACATATCCGTAATCTCTCTTTGGGCATAGAGGCAAAATGGTGAATTAGAGTATATTTAAATTGAGTGCTTTTTCAGCCAAGAATGTATACTTCCAAACATATCCATAATCTCTCTTTGAGCATATAGGCAAAATGGTAATACCCTAATATCTCTCTTCAATGTTCAATGTTGTGTATGAGGGGATGGAACCCAAATTCCATCACTAACATTGGCTAGATTTTTGAAACTCCCTACACAGTCAACTGGGTTCAAGCCATCAGCTAGCTCCAGTCAACTGGTATAAACTGTCAGTTGACTGGCTTCTGTCAAGAAGTAAGCAGACCACTGTTCACTTCAACAATAGGCCAATCTTGAACGAGGAAAGTACGCCTAACCTAAAAATGCAACCTAATTTCCGTTGACCTTGGATTCATGCAGTTGTTTAACTCACCCTCATCTTGACTCTGTTTGACTTCTTCTTTGACTTCAAGTTCCCAATTCCCCCATGCACTTGAGGCTTGTCCATGGTTCTTCCGAATGATATCTTCTTCAAAGTACACCCTAAAGCTAAAGTACAAGTCATGAAATTGTCCATCTACAGTCCTCGACCTAATAAATACAGTGGTGCTGAGGCAACTCGTCATTGATCATATTGAGATGGCAGGTCGTGCCAACACCCACCACAACGAATACAACTCTTTTCAGACAAGCAAGTCCGCCCTACCTAAAATATACAGTCTACTACATCAACTAAAAATATTGAGAAAGCCCTGCCACACAAACCCCAAAACAGACAACTGACATTGAATAAAGCAATAAATTCAGCCAAGGATCAAGGACACATGCATGGATCTGCAATTTTGACACTAACATAGATGTCAGACATAAATCTGTCTACGTGCGAAAGCAGATAATTATATTTGTATTAGTAAGTTTACTATATTGAATGTAACATGAAAGGCATGCATGCATATAAAAGAAACAAAAAGTGTAAAACAGTTGAGAAACAAAAAGTGTAAAACAGTTTCTCAACAAAAGACATCACAGCTATGTGCCCCTACATCATTGAATTTCAAATAAAGATGACATATAGAAAGTTTCCAGACAGTATCACACAGCGCTGTCATATGTAAGGGCTTTTAATGCGGCTCACAGGATACTATTTCTTATATAGTTAGAAGGTGATTCAAAAGCACCTGACAAAATACTTGTGGGCCATGAATGATGATTGTACAATGAGAAAAACAAAAGAATGAGAATCACAAACCATACTCAATATACCAACCATTGAAAGACGTTTAAAAGAAAATTGATATCACAATCAAAATAAAAGAACTGAAATCTGAACAGCAATCTAATTCTTAAAAAATACGCAAAACTCCATTTAAGTAAAAAGAACATCAGCACATTTGGTGAATCTTGAATCAGAGGCACTAACAGGAGTTAAAATAGCGACTTTAGAAGAAGTGGCCGCAATATACAAGCTGGAGCCTATGATGCTTAGCTTTGTGTTCTTCTAGCTAGCAAAGAGGGTTACGCTTTCAACTGATCTACTTTTGGATTTCCATGGAACATGTGCATGCCAAAAAATTGTACCTTGCTTATCTTTTCTTTTCTTTTTCTTTTTTGATCCTTTATTACTCTATGTGTAACACCCTGAATCCAGTCCAGTTCTGGACTCACTGGGACCCGAGTACCGGANTTGCATCGTATCTTACGATACACGATACGATACACGATACGATACAATATTTGTATCTTACGATACGCCTTCCGATACACGATTTGATAACTATGATTGAATGTAACATGAAAGGTNCGAATGATATCTTCTTCAAAGTACACCCTAAAGCTAAAGTACAAGTCATGAAATTGTCCATCTACAGTCCTCGACCTAATAGTGGTGCTGAGGCAACTCGTCATTGATCATATTGAGATGGAAGGTCGTGCCAACACCCACCACAACGAATACAACTCTTTTCAGACAAGCAAGTCCGCCCTACCTAAAATATACAGTCTACTACATCAACTAAAAATATTGAGAAAGCCCTGCCACACAAACCCCAAAACAGACAACTGACATTGAATAAAGCAATAAATTCAGCCAAGGATCAAGGACACATGCATGGATCTGCAATTTTGACACTAACATAGATGTCAGACATAAATCTGTCTACGTGCGAAAGCAGATAATTATATTTGTATTAGTAAGTTTACTATATTGAATGTAACATGAAAGGCATGCATGCATATAAAAGAAACAAAAAGTGTAAAACAGTTGAGAAACAAAAAGTGTAAAACAGTTTCTCAACAAAAGACATCACAGCTATGTGCCCCTACATCATTGAATTTCAAATAAAGATGAAATATAGAAAGTTTCCAGACAGTATCACACAGCGCTGTCATATGTAAGGGCTTTTGATGCGGCTCACAGTNACCCTAAAGCTAAAGTACAAGTCATGAAATTGTCCATCTACAGTCCTCGACCTAATAAATACAGTGGTGCTGAGGCAACTCGTCATTGATCATATTGAGATGGAAGGTCGTGCCAACACCCACCACAACGAATACAACTCTTTTCAGACAAGCAAGTCCGCCCTACCTAAAATATACAGTCTACTACATCAACTAAAAATATTGAGAAAGCCCTGCCACACAAACCCCAAAACAGACAACTGACATTGAATAAAGCAATAAATTCAGCCAAGGATCAAGGACACATGCATGGATCTGCAATTTTGACACTAACATAGATGTTAGACATAAATCTGTCTACGTGCGAAAGCAGATAATTATATTTGTATTAGTAAGTTTACTATATTGAATNCAGCCAAGGATCAAGGACACATGCATGGATCTGCAATTTTGACACTAACATAGATGTCAGACATAAATCTGTCTACGTGCGAAAGCAGATAATTATATTTGTATTAGTAAGTTTACTATATTGAATGTAACATGAAAGGCATGCATGCATATAAAAGAAACAAAAAGTGTAAAACAGTTGAGAAACAAAAAGTGTAAAACAGTTTCTCAACAAAAGACATCACAGCTATGTGCCCCTACATCATTGAATTTCAAATAAAGATGACATATAGAAAGTTTCCAGACAGTATCACACAGCGCTGTCATATGTAAGGGCTTTTAATGCGGCTCACAGTATACTATTTCTTATATAGTTAGAAGGTGATTCAAAAGCACCTGACAAAATACTTGTGGGCCATGAATGATGATTGTACAATGAGAAAAACAAAAGAATGAGAATCACAAACCATACTCAATATACCAACCATTGAAAGACGTTTAAAAGAAAATTGATATCACAATCAAAATAAAAGAACTGAAATCTGAACAGCAATCTAATTCTTAAAAAATACGCAAAACTCCATTTAAGTAAAAAGAACATCAGCACATTTGGTGAATCTTGAATCAGATGCACTAACAGGAGTTAAAATAGCGACTTTAGAAGAAGTGGCCGCAATATACAAGCTGGAGCCTATGATGCTTAGCTTTGTGTTCTTCTAGCTAGCAAAGAGGGTTACGCTTTCAACTGATCTACTTTTGGATTTCCATGGAACATGTGCATGCCAAAAAATTGTACCTTGCTTATCTTTTCTTTTCTTTTCTTTTTCTTTTTTGATCCTTTATTACTCTATGTGTAACACCCTGAATCCAGTCCAGTTCTGGACTCACTGGGACCCGAGTACCGGAATACGTGAATTATTCACACTCCAACATCCTAAAACTAAAATAACTCTGTCATAAATAGAAAGAGTTGTGCAGCAGAAATATTTGAGATCTGAAGGATGACAAATTTCAAGGATAAAATTTCTTAAAGAGAGATCATAATGACAAACTCGACGTAAGTGGGGTTATTAACAATGTGCTTCCATCTGAAATCTCCTTTCAAAGAACATGTCTTTATGTTTTCTCAGTATAGTACTCCAGCTGCTGCGTCACGACTATTCTGAAATCCCTGAATTTTTCTTGGGTGTATTATTTAAAGTGTGTTCCAGGCCAGATACTTGGGGACCGACTGATACATGAACGAAAGGCATTCATGGTAGTATTATGTTAATTATGCTGAGGTTCTGATCATGTGAGGTCTGGTTTTGACCTGAGGTAATAGCCATAAGTCTTAGACAAATCAGTTGATTCAGACCAAGGCCTTCCTGACTTGATCAGACATTGTCAGATGCAGTCTTGCAAATGTCAGCATGTCAGATGTTGATGTCAGAAAACAGCTAATTCTGTCTGACTGTTGCTTCAGATTTCGACCATGGCTCAATACCAAGGTAAATTATGAAGTTCTAGGGTTTAGAGAAAAATATTGAAAAAAGAAGAAGAAGAAGAAGAGAGAATATAATGAACAGGGTTGAGTGTGTTAGCTCACATAACTACACCTCCGCTTATATATAAACACAAAGTACAAAAATACTCTTAAACTCAAAATTAAGCATAGCATAACAAACAGGTATTGAGCCAACAGCATATTATGAACCAGAGATTGACCAACATAAACACAATGAATACCTTAGCTTCAAGTTCAATGGAGGCCATGTTCTTTTCGGAAAAACTTCTCCTGTAAGCCACAGCCTCGATGAGTAAATTCTGCAATAAGATTGAAAAAAATTATGAGTAAAACTGTAAAACACATAATAACCTAAAGTAAATCATCAACTGAAATTTATAATGATGAAAACTGAACTTCAATTTACCCGGGTAGGCCTCCCTAACATTCAATGGACCAAAAACCGCCCTTACAAATTCCATCCGGGTTAATTAGTTGCGCGAGTCAAACGCATGTTCAAAGACATATGTAGAAAAACATTTTCAGAAGACAAAAACACCCCTGTTCTTCGCCTTCTCAGGCTTTCACTAAGTTGCAATATAGTCACACACACTCTCTCCTTACTCTGTATCTCTTTCATTTTCGTCTACTTTGCACAACAAAGACAATGTGCCAACAGCCCACAAATAATGTACTACTTTGACAAATCGCTNCCTGTTCTTCGCCTTCTCAGGCTTTCACTAAGTTGCAATATAGTCACACACACTCTCTCCTTACTCTGTATCTCTTTCATTTTCGTCTACTTTGCACAACAAACACAATGTGCCAACAGCCCACAAATAATGTACTACTTTGACAAATCGCTANCCTTTCAAAGAACATGTCTTTATGTTTTCTCAGTATAGTACTCCAGCTGCTGCGTCATGACTATTCTGAAATCCCTGAATTTTTCTTGGGTGTATTATTTAAAGTGTGTTCCAGGCCAGATACTTGGGGACCGACTGATACATGAACGAAAGGCATTCATGGTAGTATTATGTTAATTATGCTGAGGTTCTGATCATGTGAGGTCTGGTTTTGACCTGAGGTAATAGCCATAAGTCTTAGACAAATCAGTTGATTCAGACCAAGGCCTTCCTGACTTGATCAGACATTGTCAGATGCAGTCTTGCAAATGTCAGCATGTCAGATGTTGATGTCAGAAAACAGCTAATTCTGTCTGACTGTTGCTTCAGATTTCGACCATGGCTCAATACCAAGGTAAATTATGAAGTTCTAGGGTTTAGAGAAAAATATTGAAAAAAGAAGAAGAAGAAGAAGAGAGAATATAATGAACAGGGTTGAGTGTGTTAGCTCACATAACTACACCTCCGCTTATATATAAACACAAAGTACAAAAATACTCTTAAACTCAAAATTAAGCATAGCATAACAAACAGGTATTGAGCCAACAGCATATTATGAACCAGAGATTGACCAACATAAACACAATGAATACCTTAGCTTCAAGTTCAATGGAGGCCATGTTCTTTTCGGAAAAACTTCTCCTGTAAGCCACAGCCTCGATGAGTAAATTCTGCAATAAGATTGAAAAAAATTATGAGTAAAACTGTAAAACACATAATAACCTAAAGTAAATCATCAACTGAAATTTATAATGATGAAAACTGAACTTCAATTTACCCGGGTAGGCCTCCCTAACATTCAATGGACCAAAAACCGCCCTTACAATTTCCATCCGGGTTAATTAGTTGCGCGAGTCAAACGCATGTTCAAAGACATATGTAGAAAAGCATTTTCAGAAGACAACAACACCCCTGTTCTTCGCCTTCTCAGGCTTTCACTAAGTTGCAATATAGTCACACACACTCTCTCCTTACTCTGTATCTCTTTCATTTTCGTCTACTTTGCACAACAAACACAATGTGCCAACAGCCCACAAATAATGTACTACTTTGACAAATCGCTAATGTATTTTACCCATGAGTTGTTTGCATATGTCTTATACTCCTATGAATAATGATCTTGGGATCTAAAAATATAAGGTAATTTGTTGACCTAATGATGTGTCAAATGATATGACCTTAATCAAAAAGTCCCACAATTGTAATAAGAATAATGTTATTGGATCATGTCAGCTACCACATTATTAGGTCAACAAATTATGTCAGTTTTATATCCAAATAACTTTATATGTATTTTATTTAAATAGAGGAGATAAGAAATGTGAGTTCAATTTATTAAGTTCCTCATGGGCAGCTAGGGATCCACTCGTATAAAAGCTCGTTCAAATTCGTTCAATTATAAAGATGAATCGAGCTCGACCCCAATTTTAAATCGTTTAATAAATAAGTCAATCTTAAATAATACATTATTCAACTTGTCAAGTTCGGGAATAAATTGAGTTCATTTATATATACAAAAGCCAAATTATGTTAGAAAATATGTGTAAACAAATGCAAAGAATAAAAACCCCATTATAAATTTATTAAACAATTAGTTTGGCCGTTGAATCATAAATTATAAATAGAAAAATAGAAAAGATGATTAAAAACCTCGCGAGGTATCTCAATGTTTTATTCAAGTGCGGCTATACCATCCCACATCGGAAAAGCAAGAGAAAGTCCGAGCAAAAATTTCCTTTTAAAGTGAAGTATTCTGCTCCCATATTTTAATCTGTCTTGTAACTCAGCTTGTAGCCTCACTTTGGAAGGTTTAAATTGAGGATAGACGGACTGACACGTGTAGGCTGGAGCTCTCGCATGAGCCCATTTTACTTCAAACATTTGTGGATCCTACACATGATGAACAGTAGTAGGGCGACAAGAGCATTTGCACTCCTATAATATAGGATATATGGAGGTAATAGTGATATTTTGTCCCCGCATTTAAGGGAGTCAGTGGTTTACTTTAGTCGACACACCACTGAAAACTATCCGCTACTTTTGAATGAGGGGGTGAAGTGCAAATAGGCTTAAATGGAGGGTAAATTCACATTATCCCATGTATATATGACCTCCAGATGAATTCTTACCTTAAGTTCAACTGCAATTCGATACCGCTCAATGTTCAATTTCTCAGCGCTGTCAACGAGCTTTTTTGCAGTATCAAGGTCATCTTCTCTCTCCAAGGATTCTAATTTTTTCTTCCTTTGTACTGGAAGCACGGCAAATACATTAAGAATCAATAAGAGGGAATTCTACAGAAACATACCCTAACCATGCACAAATCATCAATTTTACATTTGGTATCTATATGATACACACCGACGAGGATAGGCCATCTATAAAACAAATGATACTCACCAACAAGGTTTTCCATCTCACGCCGCTTTTTCTTCGCATGATGTAAATTGTTGATAATGCCTTCCTACAACATTGCAAGTATATTTAGTTTGTACACAAAACACACAAGAGACAAAAAAAGGCAGCACACTATTTAATATTTATCTATGAAGTTAAAGGCAGAGTCTCTCCACCCATTTGGGCCTACACGACGTTTGTGAAGTTCAGCAGCTTCATCCTCCACGTGTCTTAGTTCACTCTGAAGTGATTTCAAATTTCCCTCCAAAATGGTGATAAATTCTTCCAGCTCCATTTTCCTGCACTTATGCCTTTCAATTTCTCCAACATCTAGATCTGACAATAGCAGGGAGAAAATCAGAAAGACTTGAAAATTATGAGTCGTTGTACTAGAATCAAAGTTCTGTTGCTACATACTGCATAAAAGAAGATGCGAGCGATCCACGGCTTCCACGGTGGCTGAAATATGACCACCGTATCTAGATTTAGACCATCGATAATGATTATCAGGAGTCCAAACATCCATAATTCCTAATCTTTGGACCTCATCAGCCTTCTGATCAGTTTCTTTAGATCCAATATACTGAGAGAAATATAAAGATATTGAAAAAAATGCAATTTTAAGAGTCATTTTCAAAAAGTAAGTCTTCTAAATTTATGATTTCCCAGAGTTCTCTTACTGGCTCCCAAGAATTACAAGAGTTCATACAACCAGAAATTATTAGATGAAGATAGTCGGCATACAGAATGTTCTAGCCCAGATTGCCCATTCAAAACTTCTTTGACTGCATGTGGAGCATCAAAAACTTGGTCAAGCCTGGAATAGATACCAACCGCACGCATCTGCTAACAACAATAGAAGAAAAACTGCATTCAATAACTGAAGGAGCCTAATATGCAACATTTCAACAGACAATAAACATACATGCCTCTTCAGATGCTTTAAAGTGCTCTTTAGAATGACCTTCATCCCCCACATGATTTATAACTGCAACATCAAATGACCTCAGGTTTTTAAACAAGAAATCACGATCACCAGAATCCTGAGTTATAAAGGCCTGCAGTTGNTTTCTATTTTTGAGTTGACCGAAACGGTACTTCGAAACGAAATTTTGATCCTTGACTTGAAAGGAGCATAAACCTNTTTTTAAACAAGAAATCACGATCACCAGAATCCTGAGTTATAAAGGCCTGCAGTTGGGAGGAAGAGAAAAATGTCAATAATGGTCTGAGTAGTGCAATAGTGTACTTGAAAGGAGCATAAACCTAACCACAAACTCTCAACACAAACTAGATGAATCTTAGCCACTTAGTAGATTTAAATAAGAGACACTGAAAAAACAAAAAGACAGGAAAAAAATTAGCATCAACACATTAAAACAAAGAAAGAAGAAAGGAATTCTACCTAATCTTCCGCATATACAATCCAAAATTTGAATCAATGCATAACAAATTGTAAGATACAAATAAGGCTCAAAGAAGGAAATAATCAAATCATGCAACCTTAACAGCACTAACTGCCAAGACCAATACGTTCTCTATCATCATAGCATCTCTAGTTACAACCATTGCACATAAGTCATGTTACAACCATTGCACATAAGTCAAGGAACTATTCCCTAGTGTCACATTCGCAAACCACACACCCTATTGCAATACAGGTTTGTCCTTATTTCCACCAATAAAACCAAGGTAAACAACTGACATGCCCTGTAGATTATCCTAACTACAAGGTCACCCCTTAGTTTCTAGAAATAAACAAAAGCACCACCGGTTGAGTTTTACCGGGTAATGAAGGCAACAGAATTTTATTTTTCATGTTTTTGTCCTCAACCCAGAAGTTTCCTCAAAAGATTGCAGACCCAAATCATTTCCGTTTAATTCACTCCATAAATTGTTGTCCCCCAGATCATCTAGAAAGTGTCTTGTGTGCATGTGTGACTTAATCTCGATCAGGCTGGGTTATCATCATACACATGTTGTGTTGTGCCAAGATTTATTAACTCATACACAACCCACGTATAGTTTGTCTATAGTTCGACTCATGTTATGCATAAATCATGTATAGTCAGGTTCGTATTGTGTATAATGAGGATCGTATCGTGTAAAAAAGACGACAGTGGGCGGTGAGCAGTGCGATGGGTTGGGTGGTGGGTCATAGTGAATTTGATGGTTGGGTTGCAGTGCAGGTGCAGTAGGGTTGTGTTTGCAGCTCTGCACAAGGGGTGGCAGTGGTGATTGGCATGGTGGTGACTGATGTGTGTGTAGCCAGGTGGTGACCGGTGCAGTGGTGAGGCACTAGAGGAAAGAGAGAAATTCAGGAATTAAGAAAGGAATATTCCATGGTATAATCATTTTTCAAACTGTTGGTAACGTCTTAATGATAGGGGTACTGTGTGAATTAGATAAATGAACTACAAAGGAGTGTGGCAATAATTCAGAAAACTACAGGGGTATCCCTGTAAGTAGGACAATCTGCAAGGGTGTCATTTATAATGTCCATGATATATTCCCTAAAGACTATTTACTCTAAAAACTCTTAGGTTACCTTCATAATACCCCTACATCGGGTTCCTTGAGTTGTTGAGTAGAGTTTTTTTCATAAGCAAAATAATGAGGTATACAATCCTCCGCCCACATCCTCCATCTTTACCCAGAGCCCCTCTTATCCCACACATTTAGGTAGAAATCCTAATGCACATAATAATATGCTTATTCTATAACTAAAGGGGCATAATTCTAGTTCCCAAATCCTCCACCTAGAGTCAAGTGTCCAAACATTCATTTTCTGATACTATTGCATCTAAAATATGTGTAGTCCCTAAAAAGCACACTTGGATTTCGCAATAATACCAACCACAATCCGTCTAGGCCTTAAGAAAAGCACCTCTACTTTAAATGTCTACATGCTCCCTCGTCCCCACCAAGCTTATTGGGCCCAAGGCCAGCACCTTGTTCTTCAGAACAAACATTATGCAGGGCAGCATCAAAGTTTTTTCTCAAACCTCCCATCTCATTCAAGAAATTATTGCCATGAGATCATCCGAGCAACATCCTAACCTAACTTGGAAATTGGAAAGAGCAATTGCAAAACCAGTTGACTCCAAGGCCTTTATGGCCATTAAAGCACCTGAATGCGTCCACACGTCCTTCTCCACGAAAGGCCTCTCAAACTATTCTTTTCCTCCTCCCCCTTTAATCATAATTTTACACCGTCCGAAATTGTTCTTCACATTTTAGTTTCCCATAACAGCAACTATACTGGCATTTGCTCCAACCTAAGCAAGACGCATTTTTAAGACATAGTAATCCATACTCTTGAACTAACACCCTCTTATCTGTTGTTGAATAAGATAGGGGGAGACTCCTTCTAGTGGGCGAGGAAAGCTCAATAACTGTATTTTAGAGTGCAAGTCAAACAATGTAGACGCAATGCTCTACCTAGAGTCTGATTGATTTTCACAGTCTAAATCTCATATTGAAATCCTACACCGCACCCCCTTAGGGAAGTATAAAGCCTCTCACAGAAACATATAATCCTTTTCTAATGTTATCGTGGATGGGGTGGTAAATGAACGTTACGACGAATGGAGAGAATTGCCTTGGTTAATTATTCTGATGTGGAGGATGGCAGAACAATTATATTTTTGCACATGAAAAACATAAGAGTGATTTTTTCCAAAGATTTGTAATATCACGAGAAACAATTTGAAAGAAGGGAGTCAACTACAGTCTTAGAACCATAAATAAATAAGCTTACTCTTTCTTCATTTGAATCAAAATTCCAATCCGAACTCCAGGGCAGATTGATATTTGGTTCAAAAAATCTAAGAATCCAAATTTGATTATCATGTCGCATGAAAAAAATCGGGGAAAAAAGAAGTCTTTTTTTTTCTTGAACACATTTGTTTATTTTGACTACTTTGTTTATTATGGTTATAGATATGATAATTTCATCTGCCCGAAGTGCGGAACCCCGCTTCTAATAGAGCTATTCAACATTGGGAGCTTGAGCTAATTGAATCCCTTCTTGAGCATATCTATAAGAAGCATGCGCACAGAGTTGAAAAGGTGTTAGGTGAAGTGGCCCAATTCCACATGACGCTATTTGGCCCAAAAGCCTATAAGAAAATGGATATTTTTCCTTGGGAAACTACTTGAGAGTTTATACTAATCAACGAAAATTCCAATAACAAGATTTATGTTTATTAGCGTTTTATGAGTATAGGACAATGTTAGGCATCTTTTGATCCATTGTGCAGCAACCAAGGAATTGTAGTTCTTCCCATACCTTCACATTGTTTTGCTATTTACGAAAATGCTTGGGCACAAAGTTAATACACCACATTGCCACATTATGAATTCCATAAAGTGACAAAAGAAGTCAACATCAAAGATTTCAGGGACCAAAAGTAGGAAGTGACATTTCTGTACAACCAATTGAGTTTGAGGGAGCATTTTGGTAAAATGGATACTCATAGTCTAAACAGCAATAGCTGGCCTTGGGCTTGAAAGTGTCCTTTCTAAAATAGCGAGGGCAAAAACNCTTTACCCAGAGCCCCTCTTATCCCACACATTTAGGTAGAAATCCTAATGCACATAATAATATGCTTATTCTATAACTAAAGGGGCATAATTCTAGTTCCCAAATCCTCCACCTAGAGTCAAGTGTCCAAACATTCATTTTCTGATACTATTGCATCTAAAATATGTGTAGTCCCTAAAAAGCACACTTGGATTTCGCAATAATACCAACCACAATCCGTCTAGGCCTTAAGAAAAGCACCTCTACTTTAAATGTCTACATGCTCCCTCGTCCCCACCAAGCTTATTGGGCCCAAGGCCAGCACCTTGTTCTTCAGAACAAACATTATGCAGGGCAGCATCAAAGTTTTTTCTCAAACCTCCCATCTCATTCAAGAAATTATTGCCATGAGATCATCCGAGCAACATCCTAACCTAACTTGGAAATTGGAAAGAGCAATTGCAAAACCAGTTGACTCCAAGGCCTTTATGGCCATTAAAGCACCTGAATGCGTCCACACGTCCTTCTCCACGAAAGGCCTCTCAAACTATTCTTTTCCTCCTCCCCCTTTAATCATAATTTTACACCGTCCGAAATTGTTCTTCACATTTTAGTTTCCCATAACAGCAACTATACTGGCATTTGCTCCAACCTAAGCAAGACGCATTTTTAAGACATAGTAATCCATACTCTTGAACTAACACCCTCTTATCTGTTGTTGAATAAGATAGGGGGAGACTCCTTCTAGTGGGCGAGGAAAGCTCAATAACTGTATTTTAGAGTGCAAGTCAAACAATGTAGACGCAATGCTCTACCTAGAGTCTGATTGATTTTCACAGTCTAAATCTCATATTGAAATCCTACACCGCACCCCCTTAGGGAAGTATAAAGCCTCTCACAGAAACATATAATCCTTTTCTAATGTTATCGTGGATGGGGTGGTAAATGAACGTTACGACGAATGGAGAGAATTGCCTTGGTTAATTATTCTGATGTGGAGGATGGCAGAACAATTATATTTTTGCACATGAAAAACATAAGAGTGATTTTTTCCAAAGATTTGTAATATCACGAGAAACAATTTGAAAGAAGGGAGTCAACTACAGTCTTAGAACCATAAATAAATAAGCTTACTCTTTCTTCATTTGAATCAAAATTCCAATCCGAACTCCAGGGCAGATTGATATTTGGTTCAAAAAATCTAAGAATCCAAATTTGATTATCATGTCGCATGAAAAAAATCGGGGAAAAAAGAAGTCTTTTTTTTTCTTGAACACATTTGTTTATTTTGACTACTTTGTTTATTATGGTTATAGATATGATAATTTCATCTGCCCGAAGTTCGGAACCCCGCTTCTAATAGAGCTATTCAACATTGGGAGCTTGAGCTAATTGAATCCCTTCTTGAGCATATCTATAAGAAGCATGCGCACAGAGTTGAAAAGGTGTTAGGTGAAGTGGCCCAATTCCACATGACGCTATTTGGCCCAAAAGCCTATAAGAAAATGGATATTTTTCCTTGGGAAACTACTTGAGAGTTTATACTAATCAACGAAAATTCCAATAACAAGATTTATGTTTATTAGCGTTTTATGAGTATAGGACAATGTTAGGCATCTTTTGATCCATTGTGCAGCAACCAAGGAATTGTAGTTCTTCCCACACCTTCACATTGTTTTGCTATTTACGAAAATGCTTGGGCACAAAGTTAATACACCACATTGCCACATTATGAATTCCATAAAGTGACAGAAGAAGTCAACATCAAAGATTTCAGGGATCAAAAGTAGGAAGTGACATTTCTGTACAACCAATTGAGTTTGAGGGAGCATTTTGGTAAAATGGATACTCATAGTCTCAACAGCAATAGCTGGCCTTGAGCTTGAAAGTGTCCTTTCTAAAATAGCGAGGGCAAAAATGACATTGTTCAGAGCTAATGGAAAGCTTCCAAGGAAAAGGAGGAATTAGATTTGGGAAAAAGTGCCTCGATACTTGTATCAAAGCATTTTCCATGGGAGGACCACAGCTTTTGCGAGAGTGGATC